GGGGGGGGGGGGGGGGGGGAGTGGCACGGGGCTGTAGACAGCTGCTGTCCCTCTGTCCCCACCAGCTTTGCGTTTCTGGATCCGAACCCGTTTCTTGGTGTTGCATAAGCTGCTGAGAAATGGGGATAGGATGGTGGTTTCAGTAGTCTGGGACACTTCTGCCTCGCGGCTGTACAGGGAGTGGGGGGTGGGGGTGGGGGGTCGTCATCTAAGTGGAAACAGGCCCATTTGCACATTGGCAGATGGAATCCAACTGGATGTGGAAAAAATGCTCGGCACAGGGCTCAAACCAGACAGAAAATTAACCAGAACAACACCTTTTAAGTTTAACAAGAACTTAAAAAGCTGTTTTGTAAAGCTCCTGGTACTAATAGACAGCATTTAAAAAATTAATTTAAAAGCTCTTCTGTTGAGTTAAAAAGCAAGAAAGCTTTCAATGCCTCCGTTCTTTTCAAGTTCTCTGCTTTTGAACATAAGGGATTATTTTTTTTAAAAATTGTTTTACTGAACTGTTTTGCAACTGTGGGAGAAATAACTCACAGAGGTACACGTTCTGAAACCTGGAACTCGCAAAGATGTGACCTTATGTGGCCACAGGGGGTCTTGAAGCTCTAATTTACAGATGTTGTGATGGGACTTGGGATCCTGAATTCCCCGGTGGGTCCAGGGCACTCATAAGGAGACTTAAAAGATGGAAGAGGAGGAGATGGTACTATGGAAGGAGAGGTCAGAGGGATGCGCTTTGAAGACAGGAAGTGGCTGCAAGCCAGGGCATCCCCTAGAAACTAAAGGCAAAGACACACATTCTCTTCTGAGGCTCTAGAAAGATTCCTGACTTCTCAGCATCCTGACTTCAGGATTTCTGATGTGCGTAAGACATGGAATGGTTGAGGCCATTAAGCCTGTGGAATTTATTACAGCAGCTGTAGGAAACTAATACAGTCTTGGAGTTCTTGTTCAGATCCTGCCTGTTTGTTAGTTTGAAAAGAAGGCAGACTTTGTTTTGATTTGGGATGTGGGATTTATTGGGGAAATGTAAGATTCACCATAGCAGAAGCCCTTATGAGGTCAGGGGCCACCACTTTTCCAAGGTACTAGGATTGGGGATGTATTTAACCCACAAAATAAGCCACTTCTTTAATACCACATCTTGGAATCCACCTGTGCTGAGCTGGAAGATGGCACAGCAAGTCAAGGTGCTTGCTGCCAAGCCCCACGACCTGAGCCTGACACCTGTGACCAACTCCTGAAGCCTGTCCTCTGAGCACCATGTACATGTCGTGATGCACATGTCAGCATTTGTGTGTGTGTTCACACACAAATAAATAAATAAATGTAATTTTTAAAATTTGAAATTCATTTGCATTAAACTAGGTGAAGCCTTATTACTCTAAGATGTGGAATTTGAACTTGGCTCTGCCCTGGACTTCAGTCACATGTTCCTTATGCTGCAGTTGGGTGCAGAGGGACATGGTGACCTGGCTGATGCAGAACTTGTTGTGGGGCTTCCCAAAGCCACCTTACATGCTTGTCTAAAGTCAGTCAGCCCCAGTACAGAACACCATCATGAGGATGATGTGAAATGGGAGGAGCCACCATCTTTGCCACAATTCTTTACCATGTGCTTGTTGGCACAGACATGGGTGACATGCAGGACTTTGGAGAGAGTTGTTCATATTCACCTAACACCATGGAGTCACCAAGTGGGAATTCATGTACCTTACCTATTCTTCTGCTCAGGGTCAAAGATGCAGATTTTGGCTATCAGGAACATTTTGACAGAAATGAGACTTTGGGGCATGGCCTGGCCTCACAATGCTGGTGACACCAGGCAGGGTGAGGGCGTAGTGACATGGGATCTTCAGTGGCATGTCAGAGGAGAAGAGCAAGGGTGAAGTTTTGACAGACACATCAACTCCTCTATGGGGGTGCGGGGTTCCGCGGAGCGCCAGCTGCTGGGCGTGGCGCCGGTCTCCCTTGCGCCGCTGGGTGGGACGTGGTGCAGGTCTCCTGCGTGCACCTGGGAGTGCGGCGGGTCCCGCACAGTGTCTGTCGTTTGGGTCCTGGATCTCTGCCCTGCTTGCAGGTCCCTGGCTCTACGTGCTGCTGAGGCTTCTGCTACCCGGGCTGACCCGGTCGGGTCCCGTCCTAATTTCACCCATGCACTTCCTTGAGATGCGAGATCCGTCAGCTGCCGGATCACGCGGGAAGGTCCAGGACGGCGAAAGCTAGGGTTCCGTGAGTCATGGCTTATGAAGAAACAGCTTTCTCCGGAGAGACTGGATCGTAGGCAATAAGACACGGGACTCAGCTTAGTCCGTGTTACAGCTCTTTATTCAGTGTCTCAGCGCGGCTCCAAGTCTTGGTGATCCAGCTCCAATTATTGAGGAAAAACCAGGACACTTTATACCGTGGGGGTGGTAGTGAA